CCGTTGAGCCAGGGGTTGCCGTTGAGCTAGGAGCAGCTGTGGGAGATTCTGTCGCTTGGCCCACAATTCTCCCCTCATTGCCCACTCTGTCAACAGCAGCAAGCTCCACCTTTGGTGAGCAGCAGGAGGCCCTGTAGGTGACCACTATTACGGTTTCGCCTCCTGCTTGGACTATGCTGGTACTCATGGTACCGTTTCCCTGGCGAATGGTAATGTTCTCTGCACCAGTTCCAGTGACATTGGCAACAAATTCCCATTCGAATGAAGCACATAGTGATAAAGAGGAGGAACAGTTTCCCGATGTACTGACCTCCTGCCACTTGGGAGGAGTCACATCTATCACCTGGAGATAGAAACAGGGAGAATGGGAAGGTGCACAGTAGTATTACAGTGAGTCAAGTAAGTAGGTATAAAAAAGTGAGCAGTTGTGTCAGCATTATTAATTGTGACAATCGAATCAAGATAAAAATCAACTAAATCGGTGGATCAATTTCCATTTAGTCTGTTTGGAGATGCAGGAGATGGAGGAGACTGTCGGTGTGGAGGTAGAGGTGGTGACTGAGATATAGTACGTACAGTGACTTACTCTAACTTTCACTATGTGAACTTAAAACTAACTTAGTTTATCTATTTTTTTCAATTTAATTTGGCAATCGTAAGTAGAGGTTCTACTGTATGTTACATTGAGTACTGCTTTGTCACACTGGGTTGAAGTGTAGACCCCGGTGCAAAGACAGAGTTAGAAGGATCAAATGTAGTTCAAGAAAAAACTTTAGTTTATTGCCCACAAAATTTCACTGAGAACAACTCCTGGGCTGGTGAGAAGGAGAAAAGAGAGCGAGTCTTTGAAGAATGAAGACAATCCACAGGAAACAACCCTTATGGTCAAGGTTCAGAATCATAAGCCAAAAAAGCATTACAGAAAACATGTCAGTGAAAGGCAGAGAAGACCAGCTTTTTATACTCATGGGGCAAAAGATGGTAAACAGATATATCAAGTACCTCACTCTTCTTTTTTAAAACAGAAAACCAGTGGACAGACCTTTTTAGGACACATTTGAATGTTTATGTGACATTAACATTTTCAGATTTTTCTTTCACTTACCTGAGACCTGATGACAATAAAGTTCATGTCAGTGGCAGCTGCATTCTGTGCTTCAATGGTCAGGGTCACATCACTCCCTAATGCAGCATCAGCTGGAACTGCCATGGTCCCAGTATCATTAGCTATGCCTCTACTGCCTGGTTCGATAGTCACAGTATTTGGAAAACTGCAAGGATAGCCGCGGTCATTGCTGGCTCCAATAGAGAATGTCTCAACTGCAGATTGATTAATAAGTCCTCCGGAGATTACAGAAAGTTGGAAAGAGACGGAGACGTTGAAGCCAGGCTCTATGTTGGTAGATGGGACTTGGCTCTGGAAAAGAAACACAGTAGTGTCAGTAAAAGATGTGATTAAACAAATATTGGTGTTCATATACCTATCATATATATATTATAGGTATCATATACCTATAACATTCATATAAATTTACTATTAATAAAGAATGGAAGGATACTTCATTTTTCATAGCTGAGTTCCAAAAATCAAGAAGGTGGAAAAATATGATAGACAAAACAAAGAATATCATTGGTTTCAGGTAAAGTTTATGACACTCCTTACATTCATTTAACTTTAACAGTCACTTTTTCACTCTGCCTTGACTGGTCTGAACAATTTTGGTAGAAAAAGAGCACTTCTTGTATTATGCATGTTGTCAAGATGTATGGGCTGATTAGATAACTCACTTTATCATGGATGTATGATCGGGCACTGCTTTTAGAGATTTGACATGTGTTACAAAACGTAATACACTGAGCTTATCATGACATAGATATGATTTTGAAAAAGTGTTCAATACACAAGGTAGGTAGAATACTCAAAGATCACTTTCAAGATCTAGCCACCCTTGACATCATTATAGTACAACTTTTTTCTTTTGGTAAACCTTGTTTGTTTTAAAAATAGTCCCAATGTTATTTTTTTTCCTAAATCCTTGATACTAAACTAAAATTATACATTGCTGAGAGAAACCACAACATTTTAATTCTTACATTGGTACAGATTTGGGTGGTGGGGATCTTTAGGTTGGACTGTCTCTGGAAGTTACATGGCCTGGACCTGGTGTCTTCTCCTTTCAGTAGAACCCTGTACATGCCGTGGGGTACTCCAGTAAAATTGACTTGATACCTGCTATCTCCCACACACTGCGTTGGACAACATGGACATTAATTTATTGTCACAATCAAGACAGGAACACGCTAGTTGAACAGTTTGTAGTATATGAGTCCCATAAGTGAAAAATAGATACATTTAGGAATTGTAAAATAGAAATAGAAAGCATGTAGAAATTATGTATTAGAATTCAATCTCATGGCCAGCTATTTTTCTAGGCTCAGTTATTCCATTTATAGGCTGGTATTCAGAAAGATGTCAGAAAACATATTCAAATCTACAACATATGCAAAAATGAAAAAACAAACGCATGCTCTAAAAGGACATCATCTATGGAGGTATGCTGGTCAGGCCATGAAGTGCAAAATGTCACATGCCTGTACTGATCCGTTGACCTGTGTTGACTCTGAAAAAAGAATGACTTCTGTGACGTTTACTCCGACGCTTTCTGTCAGAGTTACCAACATGCTGGCATTGCTGTCTGGAAGTTTAAACAGAAGCAGAAGGTAGATTTGATGAGTGTAACACTTAGAAGTGGAAATAATCAAGTAAGGTAGGTAGGTTGACTTTCATAGCGAGGGGAGCTGTCATATTCATACAGCACACAGATCATTTGTAAGAAAACGTAGGTACAAAACTGTACGAACCAAAATTATTAATTGCTATTTATATAAAAGGTGGTCTTACCAGCATGCATACGCCCATTGTTTAGTTGGCATCCATGGACTCCTCCATCTTCAATAAAGCGATAAGAAAAGTCCAAAGCACTTTGACCTGAAAATGCATATACATATATATATATATATATATATATATATATATTAGAGTAGAGCAAAGAAGAACAACATGGATCAATGTTTGTTGTAACACTGACCTGTGATCTTGACAGTGTAGTTGTCACTGGAGGTAATGCTGATTTGCCATTGTCCTATTTCATTTTCTGTTTTGAGCGTCAAGCGATTCAAATCTCCTATTTTAGTTAAGGAGTGCAGGGGTCCGCTGGCCTGACTGGAACTCAGCGTTACACCTGGAGAACAGGGAAACATTACTCGTCTCCCAGCCCAAACCAGTGTAGAGATTTTTGCTGGTGTTGATGAAAGATGCGAACACCTGTTGGACTTGTAAGACTGAAAGTAAGAGATGAAGCTCCTATGATGTAAACAGTTACACTCCTCAATGAGACGTCAACGGCAAAATTGAAACTATTTTGTCTTCCAGGGTTTTGCTTGATACGAAAAACTGTCACCTGCAAGAGGAAGGAGAACAAAAGTCAAATTGACATCATCCTCCTTACCCACATACTCTTTTAAAGTTCAGCGCCATACCTCAGAACCAGCTTGTGAGTCCTCCACAACAGATAGAGCTGAATCGAAGTTTTGCTTTTTCATCACAAAGGCGAGACCTCCAGATGCTTCAGCTATGTCACGGTACAGCTGTTCTGACTGAGCCAATTCGGAACCTATAGTCAGCAGGAAGTTAACCTGAAAGTTTAACAGGGAAAAGGGAAAAATACAAAAATAAACTCTCGTATCATGTAATGCAAGTTGAGTAATTGATTAATCTCTTGACTGAATTGGAAAGAAAATATAGTTTAAGGTTGAACTCATACCACACATTCTGTGCTCTCTATGAGAGCAGTGATGTTGTTTTTCAAGTTCGAATCTTTAGCTGGAGCATCAGTGATGACAAAGACTTGAGTGTAGGGGGGACTTTGTGTGAGCGCAAGCTGTTAACCACATAATAGACAGGGAAAAATAGGTATTAGTAAAAAATTGTGAAGGCTAAAGAGAAAAAAAAAAGTGAAAAAAAAATAGATTTGAATGAATCTTCTCATCACCCGCAGTCCAGATAAGCTCAACTCTGGTGGGTCTCCTCCTCCTAATGGAGATAGTCTCTGCACGATCATGTTGAACTCATCTACATTGCTTGTCCTAGTTACAGGACCGAACCCTGCACATTCAATAGATAACTCATTTTAATCACAATCCCAAACTGCATTTTGTGTGCAACAATACCTCCTTGTTTATTATCTACCTGGGTCATTGAAAGGTACCAGTATGTAATCTGTGGGTAAGGTTCTTCTTCTTTCGTTAATGATTCTAGAGACAAGTGCTCTTATACGGAAAAGTTCAAAACCCATAGTTCCTGTTGTGTCAATGACAAAACACAATGGAGGTGACGGGGTAATATCCATCAATCTGCAAAAATAAGAGGGAGGAAAAGTAACATTTCCTTATCATTCTTATCTGTGCTCTGTTGGATTTTCTGTTTTCCTATGCAATTACTTTCCAGTGTCTAGTATCAGTCGGAAACTACACCGAATTTTGAAAATTTGCTTCATAACCCATAACGAGGGATGTCTGGTGAACTATCCTAATCTGTTCCCTAATAACTACCCTAATAACTACATCACAAGTGTTTGTTTAATGAGTTAGAACAAAAAGTGATACTTGTTTGATGCCCAAAAATCGAGCATCTCAAGTGGTGTTAGGATCTGCAAAATCACTGTTTACCAAACAACTAACTATTTTAATAAACCTGATTTAAACATTAGACAGCAGACTGATCAATTGTCTTTTTGTGTAGTGTCATATTATGGGACAGATTGGGTCAGGATACAGTTTGTCCTTACCTCAGAAAGCTATTGATTCCCACCGCTATTCTGATGTCCTCCAGTATGGCATTTACGGCCTGATCAGCTGCTTGGCGATGAAGAAACCCATGTGTTATAACAAGACAGACAACAATGGGCGTTTTTGCTTTATCTTGAGTCCAGGAAACATTTGCTGTGGAGACACATGACTAACACAGCAGGTACTTTCCTACCTGCCAGGGTTGTGAGAGGTTGGTCCTGTTTGATCAATGTGTTGAAAGGAACATTATTTCCAAGTTCCACCCAGTAGAAACAAAAAAGATAATTAGGTGTATAACACAACACCCCCCTCCCACCACCACCACACACACTTACCTGCAGTGTCTGAAAGACTTTTCCTAAAACCTCCCTTCCACATAAAAAATTGCCACTGTTAATGCAGAGCTTCACAACAGCAACACCTGAAATGATATATTATGCAGTTGGTGACATCCATTCCACCCATGATCTATACGGCTGAATCCCACTGGGGTTGCAGATAGATAAAATATTATATCTGCATATAATAATGACAGCATAACAAGCCTTTGTGGATCTTTATTTGCAAATCTGCACAAGTTGGTTTCTGTAAAAGCTGGAACAGTTTAAAATGTATATCTAAACAAATGAGAGTAATTTGCAAAATATGCACAAATATTTGTCAGGAAAAGTTCAATGAAATCTAAGATTAGGTTCTCCAGAGCGCAGCCTAAAAGGCTTTGGAAACCGAGGAGCGTAATTCTAACATTTTCAGGATTAATTAAGTTATTATTAGTATTTCGCATCTTTTCATATCTTGTTTCTTCAATCAGGGATGCAACCAACTAATCGAATATCGATTCATTTTCGAAAGGAAATTACTCGATTAAAATAAATTATTTGCAGATAATTGCGTTATTAACCCGTAATTCCCCTACATTTCTGCATTGTATGTTGCTATTTAGAAAGGCATTTTCATGCTGCTACTATTAATGCAATGTTTCAGATGAGAGATTATTTAATATTCTGAATATGTTTGATATTCTACCAAAATGTTATTCCCTGCCCTCAAGTGATCCCAAAATTAATCTTTTATTAAGAAATATGATTTGCATTTTTTCTTATAAAGAAAATAGCATTTTATGTCATGTAAATAGTAGGCAAATTCAAGTTCTCAACTATTGATTAATGAATTGCATCCCTTTCGTCAATATTCACCTTCCTGCTGTTTAAGATCCGAGTCGACACGTGTATTGGTGAATTCTATCTGATGAATAGCTCTCTGGAAAGGGATGGATGAGGAGTTATCTCCTGTACAGGCTCTAAATACCTCTTCAGCTACTAGACTGTTGTCAATCTGGAGACAAAAAAGAAAAAGAAAAAAAAAGCATTGCAACAGGTAAGTCAATACATTTGATGTAACTATTTAGTCACAAACATGTGTGTTGCCATGCCCTTATTAAGATCGGATTTTCTACCCACTCTCAAGGTGAACTCTCGATTTTGGGATGCAGCAAGGTCTCGGCAGACCTCAGCTGTCTTTTGAAGGATTGCTCGTCGTGTAATTCCAGAGAGAGCAGAGGAATTTCCATCAGATGAGATGAAAGACTGAAAGCTTTCTGTGGCATCCAGCATGGCAATTGTCACCGCTACCAGAAGCAACATTCTCTTTGTGGACGTCATGCTGGGGGAAACTTCAAAAAGTGATGGATAAGGCCAAGGAAGCATTTGAAACCTTTGATACATCTTCCTCCCGCTTATCTCTGTTTCTTTGGTATTTCCTCTGCTGTTTTCTATCTAGGTGTTCCAAAGTAAACAGATGGATATAGAAAGAATGGAGTTGAGCACAACAAACTGGATCCAAAGTGGCTGTAACCTGGTAAGAAACGATAAGTTGAAACTACCAATGAAAAGAGATAACAGACGCTGTGAGAAGGAAACAAATATGTTTGATTTTGAATAAAACGTTATTTGAGGTTTACCTGTCTTTGACATGTTAACCATAACATAGATGTAGCAGTCATTGTTTCCAACATGTTAATGTAATTGTCAGTGATTGACATAACAACCATATTTCAACATAAGAAGTTACATCTCATCTCAAGAAATCTGTCTTCTAAAATTTAAACTGTCACAACCCCTTTACATGTTTATTTGACTAAACACCGATGTTCAGCGGGATAAAGCGACGGTAGAATAGTCACATGCACTTATAGGTAATGTGGACAAAAACAGTGACTGAAAAAAGGGGTGTAGGTGTAATGAGGGTAACTATGTTTTCTTTTTTTTTTTAATAATCGCAACTGTTTTGCAAAATATTTTGCAGGATTTTAAATAATGCATGTTCAGAGAAATAGTGCAAGGTGCTCAAGGGAACATGTGTTTAATTTTTTTTTAAGAAACCAAAATAAAAATTCCAGAAGGATCTCTCTGGGATTCTAAATGGATGATGATGTCTTAATGGTGGGAAAGCTCGATATTTAAAAAAAAGTTGTTGAAAGCTTTTCATTACATTTTAAAAAATGTATACTTATCTTTATAGAAAAACCTAAAGAACTCTAAGTCCTCTCGACCAAATCATATCAGCAAAGTGGTATCTCAATAACATGTGACATCGATTAACACCAGAACAATTACTTATAATGGGCATTATTAGTTGATTATGGTTGTATCATTCGGGGTAAAAATATCAGTCCTGTAAACCTGTCATTTTCTGCTATGGTGCCATCCATACTTTGTAGGATTATAACCGATTAAACCATCCATGGCCTGACAACTCCCAAAAATGTTTGTAATGTAGAGACAGAAAAGTGTCTGCTCCGATGTAAGTTATCAAACATCATTTACCTTTTCATTTAGTGTCTGTCTAGTCTAGTCCAGGTTTGATTTAAACCATACCCAAAAGACCTGAGCATTACCATGATAGGTACACACTGAGTCCGACTACAACATCTAAAAGACTTCAGCAACCAGTGAAACTGTCGGTGAAACCGTAGTGGCCTTATCGTCTGTATAATCAAACTTAAAAAACAAAAACAAGTTAGTGTCCGGATCTGCTCTTCAGCTTTACACGGGAAACGAAAATCTGTTCAGTCCAGAATTGAAAACAGAAATAGATACACACAGACATACAACAGATTGTGTTACTTTTACAGCTGGCTACAAACTGTACAGGAGAATAACTTGATAAAAACTCCCTACCTTAAAAGACTGAGACTTCTGATGAAATTACGCAACCTTTGCTCAACAGCATTTTCCAGATAATGAGGGCGGAATGACAGCGGTACACACTCTTAAGAGCTCTGTATGTGACGTATTCTCCTCCTTATGCCCTTGTTTCAACTTGCTCTCATTAGAAGTTTGAAAAGGTTTTAGTGTACTTCTTGTCTACATAGACTGTAGAACAGTCATTTCTGAGTGGTAAGAAGGCACAAAATGAAAATGACCTTAAGGTACCTTTTTGTGCACTCTTTCTCTTTCTGTTATTTATACACACACTCATTGTATGAGGCATAATAATCCTCTTAGGAATGCTGTTGTCATTAGAATCTGTTCCCATGAATAAAAGGTTGACAAGATTAAGTTATTTTAACCTCAAATATAACACTTTCACTTTCACAAACAGGACACCAATTAATTAAGTACAGTGTTTAATTAAGTGTTGAATTAAGTTTTTATTTCAGCTGCCGCGATAAGGTCAGGGATACAAATCAGGCCTGAGACTTGCCTCAGTCAAACAGCCCAGTTGTGATATTATTTGTGACTTTGTTGGGGAAACCTTTCTCAGACAGCATATGGAGAAGCCAAACATTTTCTGATGTAGTATGTAATCAGCTGAAACTATATAGATATATCAAAGGACGCCCCCTTAACATTAGCTTTAGAAGTTTTAAAAGTATTCCAAAAAAGGGATCAACTGAATGTTTCTTCTTAAATGAATATCATTAGTTAAAGATCCGAATGATTTTGTAGGATTTGTTTGAATGTTGACATATGGACTTCAGAGAAAGTCACTTCTTCATCCATGCAAACAGACATTTTGATTTATGCTTTTGGAACATTCATTAGCTTTCGGTGAAAGCGAAAGCTTATTTCTAACCTGCCCACCAACAATGGTTGTTGGTTTCAGTGATAGGTGATACAAACAAACAGGCACAAGCAGCAGCACCCTTACCGTCATATCCTATTCACTGTTAGTGTGGTCTCACGCATATATTCTCATTTTTTGCTATGTTTTAGTTTTTTTACTTGACGGCTCAGATAAGGTGTAAAGAAAGATGGGCTGAAAATGTCCTTTGTCGTACAGTTTTTTCAGTGGGCTAAATGTTCTGATTGACGGGCTCCAGGCGAATCACTGTATACAAGTATAAATAAAAAGCTGACATCTCTCCTTAAGGTGTGTGTTTTCCAAGGTTTTTCCCTCTGAACTGCGGGACACCTGGTTGAATTTTGTACTGCAGGTGTCCCATCTCTGCTTTAAGGCTTCATCAGCCACAACTGTGACATCAGATTCAAAGTCCTCATAAATTCAACTGTCATCAAACATTAATTTCTTTGCAATGTTCTGCAAAGAGGGGAGGCAGGTTTTTAAAAAGGGTATGGTGACAGATGGTGACACATGTTGAACCGTACCAGATTGATAGGATTCTTTACATTCTTTTTTTTTTTACTGCTGTTACATAAATTCAACCAAGCTTACCTAGAAAGTGTTTTAATATTCAAATTCTTTTTGTGAATTAGGCATTTGATACAACAGCAAAGTTCTTAAAAAAACATGCAAATTATAATTTGTTCATTTCTGCTAACCTTTTTTTTTTTAAACTAACACAGGTCTATATAAAATAGTTTAAGCCTCAGTAGCTGCTTATGCTGTGCATTACATCATGTGAACAGGGAGGGATAGACACAACAGCAGCATGCATGAAGATCTGGCCAGATGACAGTAGCAGGAAGTCATTGTATCCACATAAACTCACAAATGTTACAAATTAACATGCAAACTCCACAGAGAATGGCCCCAGGGGTTGAAACCAAACCCTTTTGCTGTGAGGTAACGGTACAACCTACAACCACTACAGATAAATAGTGATAAATATGATAAAAATATGATAAAACATTTCTCAATGGATGACACAACCAAAAATTCTAACGCTACAATTAATGCTTTACTGAATCTGCTAAAGTTAGTTGACAATCTTGTCAAGACATAGAACGTATCTTAAAGTTTTCCAGACAAAGATTAAGTGGCCAAAAATATAGATTTTTTATTTAGGCTTTCTTACCACATAATAACGAACACTATCCTGTAAGTACTTGGAGAAACTGTCTCCTGCTTTTTTTCATTGTGTTTCATTGAGTCAGTGCTGCCTGACTCTTTTACAAAGTTTGCTGAGCTCTCTACCAAACAGGATTTACGAGTATTTGCCGCTGTGGAACCTCCCTCTTGCTGCGCAATCCTTGATATCTGCAACATGGGTTTCATTTTCACATGAGTAATGCATATGAAAGGCGGGTGGGCATCAAGCAGGATTTTCAAAAATAAAACTGAATTAGCTCAATTGAATGATACAGTCTCAACACCCACCAAAGTCAAAAGAGAGTTTCTTGTGTGTCAACATCACATCTGCTCCGTGGTGCTCTTAACATGGGCGTGCACAGAGCTGTGAAAGGAGAAGTCGTACCTGTAAGTCCAGTCATGGATAACTTCCTGTTTTTCAACAACTCCCGGTCAGCAGCCTTAACTTCTGTGACTTATTCCCTCAAAGGGACACCATACCAATGCTAAAACCACTAACAGGATAAAGGTAAGCCAAAAATGTCCTCTAGTTGCTAAGGAAAACTGAAGGAGAAGGTGACAGAAAAAATTCTCTGTTGTTGTCTATCAAGGTTTATTTTTGATCATCTAAAGCAGTTGGTCTGTGGGTGTAGGATTTTCATGCAAACAGGGTAAAAATGCAATGTTTCTCTTCATGCTTTTTAAATTCAGATATGAAGTTTAAGAGGCGATCTCCGTGTAACCTGAATTCCTTGGGAAATTGTCCAGCCCTTTGTGTGCTGTTGGTGGTTGTGCTCCTGTTGTGTAACGACCCATTTCTAATTCTGTGGTGGCCTCAGAAACCTACAGAGGTGAGTTTTCATTTTATTGGCTTTCATGAACTAAAGCATGAACTGTTAATCGAAGACTGTCAGTTAGTTGTCAACATAAATGCTTTTTTTTAATGTATTGCTGAATACTGGATTTTTTGGTTAAAGCAGCTATGTCCCATCTCCATCTGCAGAGAACTAAGAGTGGTGTTTTGCCTCTGGATATGGCCACGGATTCCATCGATGACATGTTTGATGGCTGCCAATATGAAGCCGCCTCTTTGATCGACCTGTTTGGTGTCTTTGAGTGGAATTTTAATAGAAACTTCAGCTCCGCCTGGGCTTTTGTTGAAAGACTATCCAAGAAACCCGTGCACAAGCACCTGAAACAAGACCACGCCATAGCATTGGATATGTTCACACGGCTAGCACACATCCGACAACATTTTAACAATGCAGTGAAAACACAAAAACACATGTACACCACCGATGGATTCAAGTTTCACTATTTTTACTTTTACCTGACTGATGCCATTCAGGTTCTGCGCAAAAACCGTACACTGTGTAGGACCACCTACCTCAGGACGTGGAAAGAGTTCGACAAAAATGTCATCAACGCAAAAATGCGTTTTGGTGGTTTCATCTGGACATTTTCCAACAAGCAGACACTTGGATTCAATGGGAATGTCTCCTGTTTTGAGATCAGCACATGCTTTGGAGCTGATATCACATACTACTCCAGCACAAACCAGATGGGACAGGTGCTCATTCCTACCTATGAAGTGTTCAAAATAACAGATGTTCTCACAAATGACCCCTGGTGCAGTGTGGTCTACAAAGTGCAGAGCACCAAAATACCAAGAACCGATCAAAACTGCAAACTGAGTCAAAGACTAACAAATGAATTCTTTCCAGCTGGTTTGATAGACTGGCATACAGGCAGTGTGTTTATGTCTGCCTGTGCGATCATGATGATAATAAGTTCTTTAATTCTTGTAAAACGAAAGGAGAAATGCTTTGTGATTGCTGTGCTTGGTTCCCTGCTTTTACTGATGATTTCTGCGTCATTACTGAGCTTTAAAAGATTGTAAACACAGAGGCCTTATGGAGAGTACATGAAAATCTTTCACTTTCTTGTAAAAGTACCCAATCTGTGGATGGACCTTTTAAATGAAGTATTCTCCAAAATTAATCTCATCGCTTGAAAGTTTTTTTTTTTTGTTGCCTGTAGTGGTAAAAAGTAATCCTAGAAGGAAAAGAGAAAGCTCTATAACTGAAAATCTTTTCACTGCAAATACTGACAGACTGCTGAAATCACATGATTTGAATTTGATATGTATATATTGTACATTTAGCTGCAGTTGATGTTTTATTGAGTGTCCGTTTGATACTTGAGGACCAGTATCTCATGCTTGCAGCCAGCAACCTCAGGAAGCTATTTGCACTGAAAATGCACTGAAGAGTGACCACAAGCCAATGCACGAAACTGATGTGACACTTTTAGGTGAATAGAAGATTAAGTGCAAATGCGTATATGTAATTTGTTACCAAACACATCTTCAGAGTTGCATTGTTGACACTTTATTGAAGATTATGTGGCCAATCACAATTTCGATCTATTTCCTGCAATTAAATGTTTATGCAACATATTTGAAGAGTCATTGAGTTGGTTGTGTTTGAGTGTGTGTGTGTATGTGTGCAGCGGGTAAGTTTAAGTCTTGTTTCATTTTTACTGTGTGTGAAAGGCCATTTAAGCAGCTCATAGGAGGGTCTTTTCTCTCTTTTTTGTTTTGAGTATTCTGACTTTTGCTCCTTGCTGGACTTTTGTTTTTACTTTTGGTCCCAGTGATTTGGTTATTTGTGCGGCAATGCCAGAATAAAGAGAGGTTTGATTTGACCTACCAAGAAGTGAGAAGAGTAAAAAAAAAAGAAAAAAACTATTTTCGATCATGTCTTTCATCCAGATAAAAGCTTTCCACACACATCAGGTAAAAGCTTCTTATTTTCTTCCGTTGAATTGAGTAATCTAACATGTTTTCTTTGGGTGGGGGGATAGATAAAGGACTGGTGCACTAGTAACACCCACATCAGACCCCAATAACAAATATCTATTCATGAATTAGTCCTGATTGTTACACTTCTGACCACCATGTGCAGTTGTGTAACCCCCCCCCCCCCCCATAACTAGCATGCATTTTGTCAGCCAGTCCGAATTATTTGTCTAAATAGATAAAAAACGCTTTTACCAGGGATGTTGTTGTTTGGAATCTGACTTGGTATTGCAAAGGTAATGTAAATTTAGCTGGTCTTGTTTGCTTTTGAGTGTCTATGTGCATATGCCTATGAATAAATAACCATCAAAGGTTTACATGGTTTTTATTTTTTTTATTTTTTCTGTTTTTGACAAGATTCCAAAATGAATGTAAATACTCCACTCCTTATGGATATGAGTAACTCATATTCATATAAGTATCATACATGTCATCAACTCAGTTGATGACATATATGATGGTTGTGAAGGTAAAATGGAGGAAAAAGTAAAGGATATGTTTCTGCTAAATTAGAAAAAAGAAAACAGTATTTTTGCACAGGTCTGGAATGAAGTAGAGAAAACTATAATATGAAATGGAAGTCAAAACGTGGAAATAAAAAAAACAATCCTGAAATGCTCAAGGGCATGTGCATTTTGCTTAACATCTGTAACCAGAAAAGATTGCTTTGCTATTCTTTTTTACATATGTGTCTTTGTCATTTCGCAAATAAAAAAGAATTTTCTGTTTCTAAAGTTTGGAATGGTTTGGTAATAACCACAACATGAGTCACTCCCCTATTTAGTTTTATTTAGAATCTGAGTCATATTCATATAATGGTGAAAACCCATCCAACTTGTTGGTTACCATATCTTTAAATGGAGCATTTCCGTTTAGTTGTTTCCGTATTGTGCAATTGTTTGTTTTTTTCACTTTATTAAAATACATAAACATTTTCATAGTAATTTGGAAAAGTCAGTCATCATATTTGCAGCTACAAACCTTTTTACAAGGGTAAAACATAACCCAGTTTTTAAATTCCTGGAAACAGGTCCATCTAGTGGCAAACATAAGGTTAAGGTTTTTGTATCTGATCACCATTCAGATACTTTAAGAAAAGCTTCTTGATATCTCTGACATGTCAAGCCAAGTTAACTTAATCTAACAGCCCAGTATTATACGACAGGGACTAATGTTACTATGATGAAATCAATATCATCGAAAATTTACTTCAATCGATCAAAGCTCTTGGATGTGATGACTCATACTTGCATAAAAATCTGTCAGAAAAAAAGTGAAACCTGTCAAATACATCCGCACGGAATTCAGCACAACAAAAATAACAGGCTTTAATTTAAAAAAAGAAAAGAAATTGTAATAGCTGAAATGTTGGAGGCTGCATTATGATCCATCTGTTCAAAATACCTCACACATGTTTCAAACTCATGTTTTATTCCATAAAACTATATTGAAAACACTACATTTGAATGCTCTGTTTCAATATACCGTGTAGAACAGAATAATCCTCAAACTAACAGCTACTTCATTGCAATCAGCGGTGACTGTGCTGTCATCTGAGGTTTTCTCCCCCCTGATTGAAATAAGATGCAGCTGATAGAAGAATGTATATGTCTTCACTAAGGGATGGACTGCATGATGAGATCTTAACTGTGGTAAGACCGTTAAAGGCATACATTAGTCATTTTACAGGGTCAGAAATCAATTTCTTCATGCTTTTCTATATTTGCAGAGTTAAATCATGTAATTGCTGAACATATAAAGGCGGATGAGAACATGAACCTATAAAGGTTTTTGTGTGCAGGATTGTGTGCTGGTGTAAAATGGCAAACCTGGCAGTTTGGCTTCTTGTTCTTATGTTTGGAGCTTCCATTGGAACTATTGAGGTAATGTAAGTTTAGGTTAAGCATGGTTATGGCAAACTGGACTGAAAACAACAGGATTTGTTTTTTCTCCTTTCCCCTTACGTGGTTTGCGTTACTTTTGGCAGAGCTTTTTTCCCTTGGACATGGCTCTGACCTCCGTTGATGACATGTACGCTGGTTGTAAAGACAAGATGGAGAAAAAAGTGAAGACTGAGTTTCTGCTGAATGAGAAAAACAAGGAAGCAAATTTCACTCTGGCTTGGAATGATGCCGAGAAGTATTACAACAAGAAATGGAATCGCAGGCATGGAAAGAAACCGTCTGGTACCCTGCAGAAAGAACACATCATGGCCATTTATGTTTATACTCTTGACAAACCAGAAATCTACCGAGAATTCAATAAAGCAGTGCGCACGCAAAGGTTTAAATACAAGACAACGTTCAAATATCACACGCTGCACTTTTTCCTCACAGATGCCCTACAGGCACTAAACTCACACAAACCTCAAGAAAAAAGATGCATTACTGGTTTCCGCAGAGTCAACGGCTACTTCAGGGGAGGGGCTCTCAACAAGCAGATTCGCTTTGGGTCTTTTGCCTCCAGCTCAATGGGCTGGTACCCTCGTCCTGAAAAATTTGGAGAAAAAACATGCTTTGAGATTTACACGTGCTTTGGAGTAGATATCTCCCTTTACTCTAAGCTAGGAGAGTCAGAAAGAGAGGTCCTGATTCCTCCTTATGAGGTCTTTACAATCACAAAAATAGAAAAGAGGTCTGAGAAGAAAAACCTTCCATGTGAGTTTGTTTATTCATTGAAGAGCACAGGGAAAGCTCTTTCCCATTTAAATTGTTCTCTGTTCTAAAATAGTGGAACTTCAACGTCTTTCATTACATTTCTGATGAATCTGGATGAGAATTTTAAACTGGACATGGCATGTTATTGACTACTCCCTAGAAATATACAAAAGTAAAAAGAAATGTTTGCCGTAGTGATTTATCATTTTAATATATACAACTGACTTTAGTGTTTTTTCTGTTTTTCTTTTATGTACTATTATTGAAGTTTACACCATTTGGTAAATGAATTTAAAATCTGTTATTTCACCTTTCAGATCGGTTAGTTATATTCTAAGAAAGGGTGTGACTGGTCTGGGTAAATATGTGAAACAGCGGGCGTTGTAAAGGTACACTGCCAATAAAATGGTCTTTTGTGCTTCACAGTGACTTGGTATTTTTTGTTGATTGTTACCTGTGAAATAAGGTGAATAAAATGTGAAGGATAGCTGTGTTTGAGTATCTATGCTGGATTCACTTTATTATTTTTTTCAAAATACAATTACTTATAAACAAAAATGTAGATCATTTCCTCTGTCAGTCTAAACGATGATTTCATAATATAACATAATTTGGCAAATAATAAGGGAATCTCTAGTCTAGTGGCTGACAAAACTGCAAATGGAGTTCCTATTTGATTGCATTAAAAGTAAATGCTTATAACTTTTATGTCCTTGGCAAAAAGCTTTGATAAACATTTTTATATGTAAATCCACTTTAGCTTGTAGATGCGATGTCTGGTGTAATTTTAACTTGATTTACATTTGATTGTATAGGTGTGGTGACTACTACTTTAGAAAACAGGTGCAAATAAACAAAAACAATATCAATAATAATAATTAAAACAATAATAATAAACAAGTTGCTCTTGGTGGGACTTGGTGGATAACTTCAGAGTAGGATCTGACTTGCTCTGTTTGGAAAGTGCTGTGAGATAACTGTTGTTGTGATTTAGCGCTAAATAAATAAAATTAAATTGAATAAGGCCCTGTAACCCTTTGGCAAAGAAACTTGCTTAACACTATCGTTGTGTATTCTAGCTTTTAATTCATTTGGGTATAAATACAAGGTTTTTAAAACAGAATCCCAATGAACAAGATTAAACCAAAATTGATTTATAAAAATAAAGAAAAAGAAATGCGGGCATAGAGATCCCGACTGTGAATTCTGTTAATAAGATTTCAGCTGTAGCGTGATGACTGAATGCTTTCAACACCTGTAAGTTTGCATACAGGCTCATGGCTCTGCTTTGTCCAGAGTACAAAAAAACATGTAGAGCACTATCATACCTTTGGTTAGTTTGTTTTCACAGGACAGAATTTTATTTTTTTGCTGTAATCTAAAAGTTGTTCTAAAAAGCCCCAAAGGTTCACAAAAGAAAACAATGGATTCAGATGTACAACATTTTATTGAGTGGTTTAGAAGCAAGTTATAGAATAAGCTGATGTCACAGACCTCACTGTTATTGTTTGTATAGTATTTAAATGATGGTTTTGAAATTTTACATCTCATTTAAAAACTGCGATGACTAGATCAGAACACAAAGATAAACAAATGAAAATCAGATTTACATTGAAAAGAGAGATTAGTGTAGAGGGTAAAAAAACTGTGTGAAAGTGTATTGCTTCACATCAAGGTTCATCATTCATACATGAACTACGACTAAGATGGCTTCCCTCAAACGCAGGTGTCTGCTGACCTCTGGTGGTTTTACTATAGTACTTTGTTACAATTCACAAGGTTTTCCCATGACACCGACATTGACTCTGTGCAAAATGAACAAACTGAAAAAATATTAATGAAAAATTGGGTGAAAATGTTTAATTTACTGATTCTCCCCCATGAGTTTCATAATATGTTGAGCACAACATAATATAATATGATGCACTGTGATCTGTAACTTGACATATAAATCATGCATTAGAAATATACTGAATAGAAACAAGCTGTGAGCTTTATACTTAATTTCCAATAAACATTAGAACGATTTTTAAGTGTAAGGCTGGGTGCTTTGCTTGAGTTGGCAAAGGGTTACTGAGGAGCCTACACCGAAACCAGCATACAAAGGCTCACTGAACTCGGCTTTGAACTTGTGGATAAGCGACATAGTCTCCGATACTGAATAAAAGGATAAAGTGTTTCCTGCATAGTCCAAGTACACGCCTATGCGTGTTGACCTGGGAACATGAGGGAGGTCTTGGTCTACTTTGTTGTGCCAGGCTGAGTAGCCTGAGTCTGAGCAGAGGAGACTCCACGACTTGTCGTTGTAGCCCAGCAGGCTTTGCGAGTTTTTGCCCTTTCGGCTGATGCTCTTGTAGGCCGCCCCTACGGAAAACTCTCCACTCCACTCCGTCTCCCAGTAGAATCTGAAGCCAGACAGAGCCTCTTTGCACAGCACTTGGGAGAAACCATCAAAGCGCTCCGGGTGATCCTGGTAAAACTGGATAGTTTTCTTTCGAGTGACTCTCTGATTCCCATCCGACAAGACAAGCTCTTTGTAGACTGTGTTTGGATCAAAGGACATCTTGCAGGCATCTAAGCACATAACCACATTCATTTATCCAGAAAATTTCAGAGTATGTTGAAGTTTTATTAATAAAAAAGTAGCTTTAAAGGAAAACTTAATGGTCAAAACAACAATGGTGCACAAACCTAAAAACTGTACTTACATCTCAAGAAGTCTGCTCTTGATTTTGGCTCCTGAAAATCTACCCTGGAAGGAACTGCTTGGACGTAAAACCATAGACATTTTTCTTATTATCCAGTAAATCCCATTCAAATGTTTATTTCTAAATGACCACGTCGGATATTTAATCATTCAAACGATCAAATTACACACCTTTGAGACGTTTGTCTCCATTTCTGGGCAGAAGGATGTAGACTGGAGTTTCACTGACTGTGAAGATGTTAAAAAAATTAATATGGCTCATCCTTGGATTGCTTCACAATACACACCATATCAGGAATATACCTGTTTTGGAGATTTTGCTCAGTTCTTTTTTGCAGATGTCGTCCAAATTTTCCTTCATATCTGTGGCTGTTTTGCTTATCTCTCCAAAGGAAAACTGGGGGTTGATGAGCACTTTGGGAACCATGGCCTCAGGAGGAACACACAGGGTTGGAAAATTCTGAAAGAGTGACACATTTTTGTCAAATACTATACAAAAACAAAGACTTGCTACAGGTAAAATCGCCATAGGATGATTATAATAAAGTAAACGTGAGGAAAACAATACAGTAATTTTGACCTAAGTAAAATTATACATATAAAAGTTATTTGTGCACTTTTTCCACGTTTGCAATAAGATAAGTTGCTGCAATGAACAGTATTGGTTGTAGTTCTGTTTGAGCACCTGCAGAAAATGAATATTGTCCTCGGTGTCGAGGATTTGTCGTAACTCTGCGTCCCGGCGCTGCAGCTCCATGATCTCCTGCTCCAGGCGCTCAACGTAACCCTCCGCTTGTGACATTGCTGCCTGCATGTTGGCCATTATCATCTGGTTGATTTCAGACTTCCAGCGCTCAACCGCCTGCAGCATTTCGTGGAAGGTCTTATCACTTTCTGTCTGCGCTCGATGTGCAGCCCCCTGAAAAAGTCCAGTTGGTTTGTCTTGAGCTTTTTTTTAGCACAAACAGAGTTGCACCGACTGGGAAACATCGCAATTTGTCATGCAAGATGTCTGATTTAATGTATATTTTGGGTATTCCTTATCTTACTTTTAGAACATCCACATTATGCTTTAGCTCCTGCAGCTCCTTCATCCTATCGGAAATGATGTGTTGCACTTGAGAATGCGTGACAACCAGGACTTTCTGATTGAATGACAAAAAAGAGAAGATCTTAGTCACAATCTTAAAAATTATTCAGAGAAATTACTTTTAACCATTTTCTTTGCAAGCTTTTGGAAAAAAAAGGCAATGATAAATCATTTTCAGAAGGATATCAGAATTTTTTTTGCGAGGAATAAACAGTCAAGCAGCCCGTAGAAGATAAAAGAATAATAGAACAGACATATTGGCAAATATCATTAAGACTCACTTGTTTTTCAATGCGTTCCTCCTCTGCTGAAGTGATGTTGTGGCTGCGGTGCTCTCTGACCGTGCACAGCACGCATATACACATCTGGTCCGAGCGACAGAACAACTCCAGGCCCTTTTCGTGCTGCGGGCAGATCTTCCTGTCCAGGTGTCCCGTCTCGTCCACGAGCTTGTGCCTCTTGAACGTGGAGGACTCATAATGAGGCTTGATGTGCGTTTCGCAGTAGTAGGCCAGGCACATGAGGCACGACTTGACGGCCTTGTTGCGGCGGCCGACGCAGAAGTCGCAGTAGGACTCGCGGTGCATGTAGGGAAACGGCGTGAGCTCTGGCAGCTGCGGCCGCGGCTCGTGGTGGACGTCAGGGAGGTTGCGTCTCAGCACCGGCCGGGGCGTGAACGTCGTGCGGCATTGCGGGCAGCTGTACACACCCATGTGGTCAAACTGATCCCAGTAGATCTTAATGCACTCCAGGCAGTAAGTGTCACCACAAGGAATAGTGACCGCATCTCTGAGTCCGTCTGCACACAGAGGACAGAATGAATCCGGCGGTAAAGGGAAACCGGACTCAGCCATCGTGATGAATTGAACAAATCTGAGAAACAGAAATCAAACTAATCCTCAAACTGCTGAAAAGACAGTGAATAAAAAAATGAAGGCAACTGCATCTAGTCTTAAAAAGGTTCCACAAAGGTCCTTCCAGTGGCTCTTCTGATCCAACTTCTGCTTTTGTGAACGCATTATGCGTTTTATGCTGACATTTAAATGTGGGTGTTTGTTTCTACTATAAGCAGTAAGATGATGTCTGCCCACACAATCTGTGTTCCAGTATTTGAGTGAGAGCACTGAGGTCTACACACAAGATGGAATTTGCTTACAAGCAAGAATATCTGGTGAACTCACTAAGGTCAAGTTGTCTGGAGTGTAATTTACTTTGGATATAACTCATAAAACAATGTCTGCAGTATCGTGACACTTCATTTGTCCTAATTGTGACTTCATGTGTAGTCAACAAGTCCAAAGAATTTATTTTATGATTTTGAAAGCAGTGGGATAGACGTCTAGATATTTTTGTTTTGTGAAGATCCAGATTTAATCATTTGAGACATCACAAGCTAATCGTGATGTCTCAAATGGTAAAGAGGCGTATTTGTGACTTGTATTTTCACAGGAGCCCTTTTGCGTTCCAGGCCTGTAAGCAGTGAGTTTCATGGAGGCGGCTGATGTCAAAACAACCTGTACTATTTGTTATGGCAGCAAAGCATAGAGGATCTGGGTTCCCACAGAGGCACGTGTGAAAATTTCATAGGTGACATTTTACCTCAAAGTATTACATAACACCACCTTTTTCATTTACTCTAATAATATTTCGATGTTGTTATTATAAGACATTATTATAAGACATTTAACATGAAGACATGAAAAGCCATGTAAATATATATATATATATATATATATTCTGCTACAAAAAAAACAAGAAATACCAGGGAAATGATTTCCCCTTTAAACTGTGCTGACATGTTCTCAAGTTGACTAGTTCATAGCTGACACTTAAATTAGGTAAAAACTCATTATACCCATTATGTTTTTTGTATCAGTAAAGATACAAAAAATATCAGTAATATCACTAACATTTCCTCATACTGGCTACGATAAACATCTCAACTCTTGCATCTGCCGTCTCGTCTAGTGATGCTTCAAGGATATGAAAGTAAAACGCAGATTTATATTGTCTACAATGGGCCAGCTGGAGTTGCTAGAGCTCTTTGTTCAATGGGAAACCACTCTCATTTTTACCCAAACAACAGAACTGTTGTTATAACCATAGTTGGAGTCAGATAGAGAGAAACTAAGAGGGTGCTTCACGGATGTATACTGACCATTGCAAATAGCCGACACTTCAGATTAATTGATTTGAAAGTGGGAACAGAAGGAGAACAAGTTGATTTGGGCATAGTTCTATTCTCCCCAAAATAGTAAATGTGATCAATTTTGATCAATCTAAGTAAAGAATGGAAACAAAAAAACCCCCAAAACAATGGTGAATCGCTTCACAAATGGAAGACTTAAAAGACACAGCGAGCTAATGTGACCAGGCCGACACAAATGGGTCTGAGTACCTATGATGTCATTGACTGTGCCGGTTGGTACTTTCTCCCTCCTCCCATCCGGCCCCTCCCTCTATCCTCTTGCTTCTCTGCATCTCTCCATCTTTGCCATCACTGTGAAAAAGCTGGGGAGTGGCAGGAAGGAGGAGAGAGGAGAACAAAGGGAAAGTGTAGGACACACAGCTCATCAAGGATTTTCCGAAGCATTTCAGTGCCATCCCTTCCTTCGTGATAGCAGGTACGTCTCATCTTTTGCTAATTTAGACATCTCTTTTGTAAGCATGGGCTCATTTAATGAACCCAGAGGATAGCAGCACAAAACAAGGCTTTATGGGTTGTTGCCATGTTTCAGTGTTGACCAATAGCAGACTTCCATTCAAAGTCACAAATGTAGTAGTGGCCATTGTAGGTGAGGAGAGCCGGTATTTTCCAGGCAACTTTATTCAGCATTGTTAACTTTATGATAATATGTACCTTGTCTTTAAAGCTTTTCTTTGTTTGTATACACAGACACAAAGGTTATCACTTGAACTATAAAATGCAACAAATACCTACATAGTGTATCCTTAAAGTACAAAAACTGCAGTTATAGAAGATGTACAGTAATAAGCTGAGTAACCACTTCGTAAAATCTACTGGGAGATTATGAATTTGCTTTACAGTTTGATTTGTAATCTTCCATAATACCTATATACATAGGTTTAACAGTTTGAATGAAACGGAGAAATCTGTGTTCGTTAATGTGTGTGTCAGAGAGGCAGAGGCTGAACACAAAGATTAGAGAAAGTGAAAGGATGGCTTGGCTCATTCCCTGTTCACTGAAGAGCAGAGAAGCCATTTGGAAAGTGGGCTGATTGAATTAAATTGGCCTGAGAGCAGCTTCAGTAAAACCAACACTTTGATGGATGCAAAAGTGTGTAGCTGCATGTGTGTAATTGAACGCAAGAGAGAAAATTGGAATGACCATTATGACCATTTCTTGGCAGTCAAGCAGGCACTTGACTAATAGAGTCCATATCAATTTGAATAAATTCTATAGTAACTAATTGTCTTCTAAATGCAGCCAATGCCCTTAAGATAGTAAGGAACACATGACTTCTACATAGTCAACTGATTATTCATAATGTATTTTGAACTAACAGAATTGTTATGTCCGTCCCTTAGCATGGCCGAGGGATCAGTGTCTGTGGCGCAGGTCGAAAATGCCTTCCAGAAGTTCGCCGTTCATGGGGACACCAAAGCCACGGGGAAGGAGATGAACGGCAAGAACTTTGCGAAGCTCTGCAAAGACTGCAACATCAATGACGGCAAAAACATCACCACCACGGATGTTGACATAGTTTTCAGCAAAGTCAAGTAAGAATCTTGTCAGGTTCAGCAGCCAATATTTTTTCTGAGATAATAAACATGTCACAGATTTAAAGAATCAGTCAAGTCATATTCGCCATTTCCGAGAACTTTACTTAGTTATGTTAATTTTCAGGCAACACTGTTTTTTTTTTAATTAGAGCAAAGTCAGCTCGTGTTATCACGTTTGAGCAGTTCAACCAGGCCCTGACTGAATTGGCTCCAAAGAGGTTTAAAGGCAAGAGCAAAGAGGAGGCACTTCAGCAGCTCTATGGACTCATCGTAGGGAAGGAACCTGCCAATGTTGGAGTCACAGTGAGTATCAAGTTAGGATTATGTGAAGATTCAAAATTTATGATGATGATTTTATGGTTAAAAAAAACTCAAAGTTGGCCAACCTGTCATGGAAGGAAAATGATCATTTATCTATGCTATTAAGATAAAGGCTTATCAGTTATATAGTTTGTGACTCTTTGTTGTTGGAGTTTTGGCCTTACATTTTTATTTCTGATGCTTTTAGAAAGTGGCAAAGGCAGCAGCAGTGGACAGACTGACCGACACCTCCAAGTACACGGGTTCACACAAGGAACGGTTTGATGATTCAGGCAAAGGGAAGGGAAAGGCTGGACGTGAGGACGTTCCAGACACCAGTGGCTATGTAGCTGCTTACAAAGGCACTGGGACTTACGAGGACAAAGTTAAAGATGCATGATCGTGCTGAAAAAATGCTCCACACATATATATTTTCAACTCCATTTTAACAACTGGACAACAGAAATGCGGCAGTTTAATGGTTGCATGCATTGTATGTACAACTAATGCTGTTCTATATATTTTGTGATTTACCACAACCAAAAATGAGTTACTTCCTCTGTAGTATAACGGCCTTGCCTTATGCATTAAGATTGTGCCTTATTTTGCACTAAACCATGTCCGTATATGCCTATATCTAAATGCTTCACGCTAAATTAACTCGACACATTGAAGTATTACTTTTGTAACCACTTGCTAACCTCAGCTTTGGCTTCAACTAAGTGACCTATTACTGACTATAATACTTTAGTCCTTGAATTAGTTCAAAATAAAATACTTTTTTTCTTGAAATTAATTCTTGTGTCAAATAAACATGCCTTGAAGAACACTGGATTAAAGTCTACAGATTAAGCTATGTCAGACTGTATAGAGTACCATACATGTATTGTATTCTTGATTCTTCTTTTTTTTTAATCATGCTGCGACTCTTAATGGGCCATGTGTGAACATACTTAGTTTTTTGTCTTAGAATGAATTAATAAATGTCAATTATTCATCCATCTGCTATATCTCTTTTTCCTCTGTTAGGTGCTAACTAACCACACCAATGTGCAGTCAAACCTTTTCAACACAATTTCACTTTTTCGACAAAAAGAAATCAATAAAGAGTCAAACAGTTACGATACTGATTCCCAACTGACTTTTTGTCGAGATCAATGAAAACTCTGCATACACTTACTCAACCTGCCTGGACTCTTTCTTGAAATGTAATACTCATGGCATTTTAGAAAATACACAAGCCATTTTATAAAGCCATTATGTATGAACGCAGGTCTCCTATATATTTTTGCTAAAATGAATAGATTAATAGAAATATTGTTACCTGCCTAAAAAAAAGGCTTGTACACATAGAACATTTAGATGCTAAAAGTTAACCACTCTTCATTATCAGTTTGAAATTGATTGAGTCATTTCTGAAATCCCCAGTATGAACTAAATGGGGATATTTGTTTTACCTGGGTTTGTCCGTTTCCAAGAGAATGAGAGTGTTATGGTACTTCCACTTATTCACAGAACACAAAATGGATAGTCCATTAAAAAAAGATGATACTTCTGACCTGATACCCCGGAATCCACGGTGGCTCAATGGGATAAAATCCTCATGTCTATGCATCTTTAGGGTGGTCACGATTTGTACTTGGCTCTCACATGTCATAGGTCAAACTCTCAAAGGCCCCCTAGAAGGTGGTGCACTTTGCAAGGGATTTAATTAGGGATGTTGTTGTTTGAAAAACTATATTCTTTTTACCTGAGAGATAAATCTTTCCACCCACCTGGACAAAAAAAACTAAAAAAAGAAAAAGCTCTGAAATGAGTGCAGCTATTCCTGACACACACATGTGAAGTGAACAACTTGGATAAAAAATTTTTGTGGACTGCAATACTGATGGAAATACTGTGAGAAAACTGTGGATTTCATGAGGATCAATGCACAATCTATTCTCTTTTTGTTCTGTCCAAAACTCAAATCTGTACGGTAATTTCCAAAAGCACAACACAAGCCACGATTTAAGAATAGTTTTTTATTTTCACAAATCATTACAGTTCTTTTGACATGTGGCATAACAACACATCCATTCAGTTTAGTTTGGCGTTTTTTAAAATGCTGTCTCACACTGCTGGAAACTATGTATAATCGTTTGCTTTTCACCAAGTAAAAGAATAAGTCTGACGTTGTTTCTTAAAAAAAAGAAAGAATCCTTCATTTTCAAACATATCATTGCGTTGTGAGATGAGAGATACAGCTTGCAATTTGTTTGTCTTGGGCTATTTGTGGGATGTGAGAGCCTACACTGAAATCAGAACCCTACGAGCAGCAGCAGATAAATTAAATTGTGTAGTTTGCTGGATTTGACCAAAAATAAAGGATGGACAAACCCAACAATTCAAAGGTTATTGTTAAACATATAACATTATGGAAACAAAATATTGACACAGAAAGAACCACTTAAGATATAGTATTCTATTTCCTTTACAATGTATTTGAAATATCTCTAACCCCTCAATAGTTACATAACAAAAGAACTATGCTGTTTACAACTTATCATAAGACAAGGATACAAATATATAGGTTCAAATATCACAAGGCATGTCATCTGTATGCAGAAAGACAAAAAAAGAAAAGAAAACACATCAGATTTGTAATTTAAACCCTCAAACAAGTGTAGATGATTATTATTATTTTTTTTACAGCTATGAAATATTTTATTATTATTATTTTTTCTTTTGAGATTTGTAGAGGTACACGAACGGATAGATACCTCCGGTCCAAACCATGATAGAATAAGTAATGGGAAACCAGGTGCATATTGTTTCATATTGTATGAGATTTTTGAATTGGATGAGCACAATCAAAGGTAAAAACCCAATAACTTCGGTCACCTGAAAAAACACAACTGTAAAAAAAGCTTTCCTCTTGACTGAGCTGGATGTTTCCCTTTTCCCCTCTCCTGGAGCTGGTTTCTTTAGTGCTTTTAGGACTGATATGGAGCAATAACAGTTGATGAAAAAGACAGGAAAAAAGTAGAGTGTATTTATGTCCAAAAATGCTAGTTGGCACAACATTACTTGAAAAACATTCATCAGAATGTGTTGCAGCCAGATTAATGAGGAAAAGCTCATCCTGTACCTCAGGGGTCTGTACTTCAGATAACGTAAAGGACTCACAACCGCAAGGTACCGCTCAAAGCACACCGAGCACTGGAACTGAATTCTGGCTGTGAATATCATCTGGACCAGTTTCACCGCTACGTGAGTCACCTCGCTTTGGAAACGAAAGCTTAGAGACATGAGAGGTGTCACCAAAAACCCAAACAGCAACTCGGCGAAAACCATGTGGAACTCGAACACTTTCATTCGGTCGGTCCAGAAGACAGGAGAGGACACCATCAGCTGAAGGGCCAAGCCGTTAGCGGGGACAGCCACGGCCGCGTAGGACAGAATCGTAAAACGAAAGAAGTTCGAATCCATACACACACCACAAACCATGGAGGGGAAAGTGTGGTTTGCTATCCTGGGCGTTAGATAGTCCATGGTTTCTGGAAAGTAATGCAAAAAGACCAGTGAAAACCCCCAATACCAGGTAGATTTCTGTCTTTTTTTTGTGCTAATTTTGACAGAACCAATGCATATTTTTCTGTCAAAGGCATTGAACGTTTCCCTTCATGTTATCAATGTCTTAAACCAAATCAATTTTCTACTGAAAATAAGGGTACATCAGTGATTCAGGCTCAAAAGATTAAATAACACAAAATTTTCCTCTTGGTCTAAAACCAATGCACATTTTGTATTTGATCTTAACTGCTATTATATTATTTAACAGTTTTTTCACGAAATGAAGTACTTTTATGTCAACTAAACCCTATTGCCATGCCATGTGCCTCAAGGAACTGACAATACATGCCAATCTATACGTATATACATATATTACTAAATAATTCACTTAATGTTTAAAAATAAAAACACAAACCTAGTCCGTGTGTGAGAATAAGTTGAAGCTGGTGTTAAACAGGAGCTCCACTTTTGAATGACATTGCCAAAAACTCCTGTATTTCCATAACCAAATTATAGCCATAGAGGACTTGCTGGTATTCAAAACCTGTACTGTAGGTGGGTGCAACCACTTTGAATAAACAGGCATTGAGGAATGACAGATTCCAGATGAATAATGATGGAAAAGTGCAGGATTATGGAACATAGTAGTCAGGTGAGGCAACATGATTAGATCAACACTGTGTTAATTATTCAGATTAATGTAGAACATTTTACACACAATCTGTTTGCTGTCCTGGTTTTGAAAACATTTTTGGGATTACATCAAATAATATTGGAGAACAACAAATGTGACCTTAAATTTCCACCCTGAAAGTTTACTTTAACACTAATTCAGTAGGGGAAACAAATCTACATTTTGTATATTTGAATGGATTAAAGAAATTTGATTTGCAAAAGTGAAGCTGATACACCCAGACTGTGAAGCACTTCTCTCCATCTTCATGGGTAGCAAATGTTATTTTTTTTGCATTCTAGTGGAATAATGTTATTCTAAAGTAACAATAATTTTAATTGAGTAAATGTTTTTGGTGACTCCACCCACCTCTGCTACAGACTCCAGATAATGGATCTCCATGAAGGGAATCTGCATAGAATTATGCTTTAAAAATGGGCTCGTGTTTCGCCCCAATAAATCACTGCAAAGAGCGATAATCAGTGGTAGAATCCATTTTTATTAAGCTGAGTGTGGTCCTGTGGTACGATGGGCATGCAACTCTCTCAACATTTCTCTCAACAGCACATACCCAAACCTGAGGCTTCAAGACTATTTCTCCTTTTAATGACTTGAAACATGATTGAAAACAAACCTTTCCCAACCGGTTCTTTCAATCATTCCCTCCAAGGATCTTTAAAGCAATGATGACCAGGGGATAAGAGTGAGTATTTTGTTATTATAATGTTGAACCTGTTATAAAATGTACTCAATTGAAGATATAAATGTTTAATAGACTATAGACGGATAAAGTTGTTCACACCCTGTACAACTTTTGGGCATTTCTCTTTCGTCTTTAAAAGACAACCGGGGTTACCAGTTTAAAGCTGAAAGTTTATGTCTTCCTTGAAATGCACATGACTTCATTGAGGTTTCATATTTCATAGCTGTATCATGTCAAGTTTAAGACTTAAAGGTCTGCACTAAACCGTTTGAACTGTTAAACAGCAATTACAGTTTAAAGGGGAAAAAGTTTTCTGCTTGGCATGGAAGGTGAACGCAAAGGAGAGAAAAGATCAGCACAATTTGCTGGTGGCGGTTTCCTTTTGGCCTTTTTGCAGCAGATGAGGACAATCAGCAGGACTTTTCTTGGAAAACTCAGACAATGTGTTAAACGCTGAACAAGGAGGAACATTCTAAAGTCTAGCAGGAGAGTTTCATCATGACACCACTGAGACCATTTCCTGTGTGAAGCTCTTTCAGTTCTGATCATTTGTTGCAGAGACAACATTTAATCTAGAAGTCAGTTGGCATGAAATGGTTTATTCATTTGGTGCTTTGCTTGGCTGCTGTAGGGCCAGTCCTAAATCACATCTCTTACAGCTTGGTATTTATGCAACAAAATAATAATAACGTACAAACACACACTGTTGCTGTTAATCGGTTTTGTAACAGTCATTGCCTGTTTAATTGATTAATAGAACTTTGGTGGGGAAAAAAATCCTATAGACATTGGTAAATTCAAACTTAAATACAGGTTTCTCTGTAAGGAATTCTGAAATTTCCATTTTCTTCTGTTATCCAATCCAATCATGCAACAGCTACAATAGATAATGCTAAAAACTACAAATGACGTCATTCAAATGATACATATATACAGAGAATAGAGGAAATCAGGTATATAATCCATTGATTTTCACTGAGGAAAAACCATTCTAACTACAGTAAATAAGCAAAAACAAAAAAGAGCCATCATTGAACTGTGACGTTGTGAATAGAGCTGAGAGCTGAGCAGGATCGTTGTAATCTAGTATGCTCAACAAAGCCAAAATCTCCTCATTTGAAAACCAAACTCTATAAATTGATCCATTTTGCAGCGTAACAATCCAGATTGCTTTCTACTCCAGCACTCTTCAGAACATAGACCGTCTCACAGTCAAGAATTTTTCTGGATGTACTTCTTTGAAATATTTTGAATTTTTCATAGGGCGGGATGAGGACTTCTTGCTCCCTATCTTT